ACAGAAATCATGAGGTTGATTAAAAAAATACATGGACATATGAAGATTTAGAGGAGCACAGATCTGTGTATAGCTAATGTTTAGTATATTCTATATATTATAAGGAAATCCAATTACGATAAGACAGCTGCACAGAACAAACCTCCCACATACTCAAGAATACCCTACCACCTTAACACTCTACGGTTCAGTTAAGACGGGATGAGAAGCTAGTTAGTTGTACCACACTGTAATAACAGTGCATCGCAGAAGATGACATAGAAAATTGGCTTGCAGTCTTCATCTAGTTTCAGAAATGTAGAAACATTCCCCTACAGCTACTGATGGGGAGCTACCCTGTCTGATGTTTGATATCTTCTCTCTGCTACAGTACAACAAGGCTGTACAAAGCAAGAATGTAACATCACCCTGATCACACACATGTGCCCAGACCAAAAGCTTGTCCATCCTCTGTTGACTAGGGAGAGGTTTTAGCCCCTACTAAAGCAAGTATCCACCTTGCTGAAGTGTCCTTGAGCAAGTCAGTGAATCTTTTAACAGGCTGCCGCTGTTCTGGCTCCGACCCTAACCTCCCAGTGGAGGAGAGCGAGACAAAAGCTGTGTTTCTCCTTTAGGGGTTCATACAGAATCACAAAACAGAAAACAACAATCAACTGTCTGATGCATGAACCAGCAGCAACAAAACCCAGAGGACCCTATTCTCATCTCAAAGTCTCTGCTTAACACCGCACTCGCTGCTGAGACCTCAGACCGGATACAGGAGGTAGGAAGTTTCACCACACACACGCACACACAGAGAGAGGGAGAGACAGACTCAATTATAAGGTGTGTGCTTTAATGATAAATTGTAGTTAAATCAGCTTGTTAGTCAACTTCAAAAACAAATTTGATGTGTATTCCTTTTCCTCTTTTTTTCTGAGCCTCTGGCCTGAATCCAACTGTCCTCTTAAAATATTCCTCTTTCCTCATTGTCCTTTCCTTTCTTTCTCTGTCTTTCCACCTGGTTGCTCTCCACCTCATTTCTCTCTCCTTTCTGTTTCTCCTCTTGAAGTTTTACATGCCCTTGCCCCAATCTTCGTCTTTCTGTGCACTTTCACTTACTTTCTTATTTTTTTCCCAACTTATAGCTCTCATTTCATCAATAGTCATCAAGAAAAGAAAAAGACAAGGAGGAAGCAGGGGGAGACAGACCGTGGTGTTTTAAAGAATTTTGCTCTGTTGTCTTAGGTCTTAAAGGATAAGGCTGGTCATTTTCTATATTAATAGCATTTTCAGCAATCTCCACATAAACTAAATCCGACAATGAATTGCCTCTACTCATTGTCAGTCCTGGATTAGCTTGTTCGTCTGTGCAATTGACCTCCATTGCTGTTCAAAAATGATTTAACAACACATCACGAAAACACCGCTGCATTGGGTGACATGCTTTTTTCATTATAAAACCAGAAACCTGACTGTGTAACCCCAAAGGCTCCATGCAGCCATAATTTCCTGAAGTTAGCTCAGAGTCAGATGCTTATGAGGTAGATTTTACGCACGCTCTCAGCTTTGTTTACATTTCACTAGCACCTCATGATCAGATCTGGAATTTGCTAATGAAAAAATATGTCACCTCTTGCAGCCACGTGTTTCACTTTTAATCCTTTTGGAACAACAACAGAGGTCTCTGGCACAGACGAATGAACTAATCCAAGACTGACACCCTGATGGACATTAACCATGAGGCAATTCATTGTCGGTTTTAGTCATTGTATGGGGAGTGTATCCTTTAAGAAACCATCATGCAGATACCCTGTTCTCTACTTGTTTTCTCGCTAGCATTTGGAACAGTATTAAGTCACTATATTCATGTTCTGTAAAAGCTTGTGGGGGGATCTATCATTCCCATGCACAGTGACCCACACAATAGTACACTGTGCATATTGAATGCAAAGAGAAGAGCATGTGGCTAGTCTATTAGCTGCTAACTGTGACTCAAAAATTCTTTTCATCTCTGCTTTGCTTGTTGGCAAACACACACCTCAGAAACTAAAACCTGGCAACTTCTCATCAAATGGTGGTGCCTTCTGGCAAAAGCAATGTTCGACACAAATATCGTTAAATGTTCCAGACAAATTTTTACTTTCTATTAAAATTAGACTGAGTAAATTTCCTCCACTATCAATACACATGGAAAATGATTATCCATGACTCAAATTGCAATGTGAAATTTGTGGAAATGCCAAAACAAGTGAAAGAGAGAGAAACAAAACAAGGAGAGGAGAATGGTAGACTGATCTGATTTACCATGCCCATTCTGATAATTGGTCCTTCTTTTCTCCTCTGAGGTCATCTTGGCCTTAAAATACCACTGACACCTGGAAAACACACAGATTGAATGACAGCATTAAGGGGATATTCCTCAAATGTGTAATATTACTTTTTGTACAGGTTTGTTATATAAGGGGGAATAGTGGACCTACTACAGGATCCATGCATACAGTAGGGAGGGCCCTGAAGGAGCCTCGAATTAGGAGTTTGTTTTTATGAGCACTTATAAAATTTTACATTGCACAGCAGCCACTATGGTCACAAGTAGTAATTACAGAATAATAGCACACTGAATTTTCCTTAATTTCCCAAGACTCCCTTGGACCAGTTGCTTTAAAGGCATCATCATTAGGTGACCTGACAGAGCAACTGGGATGGGACCACAAGCAGAAAACCATAAACATGTGTGTGTTTACTTCATGTTTTATGTCTGTCCTAAAACCAATGCTTCTCTGTGACGCACTACCCTCCAGTCTAATGTAAGTCACAAGTGACTAAACCCACTTGGTATTACCAGTTACGTAGCACTATACTGCATGCTGCTGGTCAAACCAGACCAGACTGCAACACTGAATGTACTGACTTAACCAAGGCTGTGTCATATTCCTTATAAACGTTTTATTTGGAAGAGGAAGAATGTATTATTTCTTCTTTCTAATGTTACTGTACATAGTCCTGCTTTAAACAAGACAAATGCCCACTGTAATAGCAGACAAAGCGATTTCTTTTCTTCTTCTTCTTTTTCTGTAATTAACTATTTGCCTGAATGCATTTTAAACAGGTCATTACTGATTAACCAAAGAGATCAACATGCTCTGCTGTTGATTCAGTGATGTGCAGTGCACATGAGTAAAATTACATGTATTATTATGGTTATTTTTTACACTCTCCTTTACAGATATGGATCATGTTAAATGATACAGTGCCACATTATGGACTAACTGAGACAACCACTATCCATTTATGCTACGCACTAGCTGGAAGCTTGACACAGTGTTAACACAGATCTTACATTTCTGTGTGTAAGGTTTCACAGAAGAAGGTAAATATGGCCCCAGTGTTTGTGTGTGACAATCATTTGCAGTTAAGAGGTGAAAATAAAATCCCAGTGTTTGTGTGTGACAATCATTTGACATCAGTTAAGAGGTGAAAATAAAAGATGTAACTTGTCATTATGTTTCTTCTCACACTTTTGCACCACTGACAGACACCTGTGCACAAACACCCATTTGCAAACTGGGTGTGGTATATTAACAGCTTCGCACTAAGAAACAAGCTAAAAGTTTGACTGTCACCTAAAGTTTAAATTGACAGTTGTACAAACTTAATGTAACATGTGGCAGCAAATAAAAGGTTTATATATGTTGCTATGTGACGTTTCTAAAATGTGTGAAAAACAGCCAAAAGGTTTGGAGAAAAAGGGAGAAGTGAGTAGATATTAACCACATGGTAAGAGTACATGCAGAAAGAGGTGCAGTAATATGTAATCAGTCTACATTAGTAAGTTATAGTTAATAAGATTTTCATAAAAACACATTGATGTAACCAGTTCATGAAGGCTTTAATGTTTTCTGGTAAACACCCTATACTGAGCAGGGTCAAACACCACAGCAGTGAGACAACACCATCGCTCACAGATTTAGTAATTGTAATAGATCAAAACAAAACAATCTTACAAGGCTGACTGATCACTGGACCTTATCATCTGAAGAAAAATGTGCACAAACAGTGACAGTCTGGCCTTGCACTCGATTAGAGGGAGGTTGTGTGATAGGGTGGTTGTTTTCTGAAGATAAACAAAATATAACAAGAGCACTCAGAGAGCGCATGTACCTCCGAAAGGCACAACATTCACTCATGCAAACTGGTCCCTTGTGAAAAACGAGACCCAGAACAACATAAAATGTGTCCTAAAATCCTTAATCCAGATCAGATCCGAATCATCTTCTAAGGTATGATAAGCTGTTATACTGTGGATCTTAACGGAACAGTTCAGGGTTCTATCTTCATTACAGGCCAAGTTATGGCAAAAAATATGCTTTAAATGGGGTTTTCAATGTTAACAGATCTGGATGAAACTTGGTTTGCTACCCTATATACAAAGAATGAGTTCAATAACTTTTGATGAAGACATGAATTTTTTAAAAATCTTGCCCCATGTCAAAGATAAAATTTTTTTGTGTGTCATTATTTTTTGTGACCTTTGACCTTTTTCACCCAAAATCTAAACACTTCTATGGTTGATCCCCACCAATGTCTGCACCAAGTATGCTGCTGATCCATCCAGCTGTTTGCCCATAATCCTGCTCACCATCACACGGAACCAAAAACATAATCTCCTTGAGGGAATGACTAGCTACAGTTACATATGCACACACACAATCAAGATCCTTGAGAAATACACATGAATCCACTTAACTTTGAGGAACAGGCACTCCCAGAGAGAATGAAATGTTGTTCTCTCATCACACAACTAAAGTAAGGAAGCAGGTACCACCCTTTCACCCACTAATGGAAAAATACCATTGTCTTCCTGTGTGTGTGTGTGTGTGTGTGTGTGTGTGACTGTGTCAGTGGGCGCTGAGACACAGACAGCCAGCCAATGACTGATAAAAAGATGCTGCCAAATAAAGTCTGCAAAGCTGACAGAATAGATGACAGCATCTGTCAAAGACCGCAGAAGGTTTTTCTCCAAATAGATGCTTGGAGGTTACTCTAAAGTCAAAAAAATAGAAATATCAGCATCACATCCATGGCAAAGAACAACACAGCCTACTTTACTTGAAATATTAAGCAAATTTGATGAACAAAATCTGAAAAAAGAAAGAAGAACTTGAAACCAAAATGCTTATATAGATGTAACAATGACAGCAGGACCTACAGTACACCAACAGGTCCACATACCTAAATCACAAAACAGGAAATGAAACTGCTGGTACTGTGTGACTGGTATTCCAGTAAACAGCAACTACAGCAAAGCAGTATCCATCCATTTTCTATACCGCTTAGTCCCAAACGGGGTCACAAGGGGCTGGAGCCAGCTGTGGGCGAGAGGCGGGGTACACCCTGGACAGGTCGCAAATCCATCACAGGGCTAACACACAGACGAACAACCACTCACACACACAATCACTCCTACGGGCAATTTAGAGACACCAATCAACCTATGCTGCATGTTGGAAGCCAGAGCACTTGGAGAGAACCCACACAAGCATGGGGAGAACATGCCAAATCCAGGTCAACTGGATCCGGAACCTTCTTGCTGTGAGGCAACAGCGCTAACCACCGCGCCACCTAAGGTCCTCATTCACAGTTCTTTTTGGCAGCGATGTTATATGAATAAGATAAGTGATACATTTACTGCTCTTAAAATGAGGAAAGGGACATGATTTTCACACCTCTGTGTATATACCCTTGAGGTCTCTGTTCTGTTAATGGGATGGCATTTATTTCAGAATTTAGCTGTGAAGGACAGAAGATATTATGAAATCCTACCTAGACAGATTGTCGTCCTGACTTTTAAGGACAAATGAAGGTGGCATTAATTCAAACATGAGACTCACAGGGTAAATTATTATTTATATAATAAAGAGCATCTTAAAAGGGCTTTAAAGTTGAAGAGCAGAGCCCAAATGCTTGACCCAAACACCCAACAGTGACAGAGTCCGCCCTCTCCTGGTCACGCTGTTACTTCTGTGGAGAATCCTCTCTTCACTGTCACTCCTCAAGACAACTCCACCTTGTTTTAGAGATGACTGAAAAAAAGCTCACTGGTTTAGAGGTAAAACGTGGACTTCAGTGAGTGGACCACAGGCAAAGTGGTGAAGACGTCACAACAAAGTCAAATTCCTTGTGTCCGATGCACCTGGCCAGTAAAGCTGATTCTGATTTCCACAAGTTTGTGTTCTGTTTGCTCATACAGTTTGTTACTGGCTGATTGTTGTACTATGGAGTGATCCTTCAGGTCCTCTGTTCTTCCTATGTGTGTGTATGAGAGAGAAAAGTGCAGCCTCTCTCTCCTCTAAGCAAAGACGAACACAGAGAAAGTACGGTGGAAAAACAAAGCAGCATGGTCCACGTCAACCTGCAAGGTTATGCCGGTTAAAGGAAGCAGGAGATGTACCGCTCATTAGGTTCCCATAGTGGAGGATCACTCTACTCCTATCGGTAGCCTATACTGCATCTGACATTTTCCTTAAAAACAATGACAACAAACCCATGACAAAAGCGTCACAGCTTTGTTGAAACCTGTCTGCACACCATCAGTGGTGTTGTAGCCCTTTGGCTGCTTGAGGACACATTTTGCTCACTTCTTTGGAGTAATGCAGTGCCTCTTAAGAGCTAATTTGCTGGTTTAATGGCCTATACAATACTGAAAACTTACTGTATCACTGAGTCTCAGACCTAGATATAATATTCATATTAGACAACTCTGCACACATCACATGGTTATTTTACACACCCAGTGCCCACTGAATATATTGCTGTTGCTTGTTTGTGCTCTACAAGTAAAGTTTGGGCTGACCTAGATTTAGGCTTGTCATTGTACAGGAAAGAAAAAGAGGAGATTCAAAAACATGAGATAAAAAGCTCACTGTGAGGCAGAATAAATCTACTTAATGACTAACTATTGACTAAGTCGGGATAACACAGTGATTGCAAAACTGATGAGAGCAGAGACAATGTGACTGGAGAAGGACGGGAGAGTCCTATGCCGACTGATTGATGCAATATTATCCTTGGCCCGGCAAGGTTTGGCATTTCATGGGCAGAGGAGAGCATGCTAGTTTGGGAGCTCCACATACACAGTCCATCTAGTTTAACTTCACTGAGTTACTGAAATTACTGGACCATTATGATTCAGTGCTAGACTAGCACCTGAAACCTGCAGCCAACAAGAAAGTAACATACACCAGTAACCACCGGCAAAATGAACTGAATGAGGCTCTTGCCAGGGAGACGCTGAGCTGAGCTGTTGTACAAGAATCAAAGCAGCAATTTTTTTTTTCTGCTATTGTTGACTCCACCATTGATATGACAAGAATGG